CTCTAATTGTATGTTGAGTTGATTTTGCAATAAATGATTAAAATGAATGAATGAATGAAATACGGTATGGTAGTTGTGCAACATTGAGAGCATCGAATAACGATATCCACTTTCTTGTGAAAACTGAATTCACTGCAACCATTTTCTAAATGCGATTGAACGTACGTTAATCTTCAAAAATATCTTTGCACATAGTAAGCCTAGGGAGGGCCATGGAGAAATATGATATGATTCACAATTTCTCGGTAAAAAAAAATAAATATTTCATATCATTAGTTGTATCAAAAACATTTATATTTCCCGAAGAATACCATGGCTGAGTGACTGCGTTAGAAATTAATGATTAGAAATAGAAAACTACTTGCTGTCCTCTAGCATTCCCGAAGGAGCTTGAGATTTTATTCATTCTTTATTTCTCTTCCGTTGGATCATTCCGCTTATTGTTTCTAGTTTCCATATAGCCTTAAATACATTACAGTATAAACAAGTATCTCTTTCGAAATCCGACTTGCAGAGAATAATGCACAGAAATAGGTGCACCTATAGATCTATGACCGTCTCTTTCATGCGGCATTAGTACTATGTCAATGTCATGACGTCAGAAACGTTGAATAGATTGAAAAGGATTCATCGCTACCAGTACATGGATTTACCACAACGCATTTGTAGTCAAGTTGGCCATGTATGCGAAAGATACTATAGACTAAAATAGTATGTAACTATACATACAGCCCATAAAATAATCAACTAGGTACAGAATATTTTGTAAGACATGTAAAGCTCATTATTAATTACGATTTTTCAGCATAAATCCCTATAGCTGCCACGAGGTAATATATAATCCGAAATATAATTCTGTCAACAGTATATTGGGAATATCTCACCAATCCTCTGGGAATTAGAATTTCGATGTAAACTGCATTTTACATTAACCAGTTTATTTTAGCTATGAGTGAGTTTGAACTTGACGCGTGGTTGTGTTGATTTTCCCCCTCGTGTGAACCGCCACGCGTCAACGTGAGAAGAAGGCAATGCGAAAGAACGTTGAACCTTGCCGAGGTGACAGCCCGGAATTCATTTACCATTAATGTTGTCGAATTGTATCTGATACGTGGAAGTTGAGTTTTAATATCACCAGTTCAAGATCAGTTTGTAGGAAGCTGATAGTATTAATTATACAATATTGTATATCGCAATATTATATTTATTGACTTATCATTTTAATTGGTTTTATGATTACTCACATCTGTATATTTGTAACA